TCAACAGAATTTACCCAAAGTTCTTAAAGTGCAGGCGAGCAATTGTATCAGTATACAGGATGGTATAGATTATTATTAAAGTGCAATGGCTTTGTCAAGTTGATTCTAAAGTGCTAGAGTAAAGTGCGTCATGGAGGAATTTATACTTCAAAGCTAGAAGGTTAAGCCGAAGGTTAAAGTGCTGAGGCTGAACAGGTTAACAGACCCAATCGATACCGAGATAGTAGAGTTAGTTAAAGTGCTGGTAAATTAAAGTGCTGGAATTATACAATCAGAAGCACTATTCAGTTTATTGGCAGTGCAATGATTAGTTCTTAGAATCTCAGTTCAGTCATTGAATATAGTCGTTGTTATTGTTACAGTTTCAACGCCCCTTCCGATAGTTAAAGTTACAGCCCCAAAAGATGTAATACGGAGCTGCCGGGGGTGGGCAGGCAATTGGCGACGTAGTTCAGGTAACCAGATGGCCAACACGATTCTTCCAGAGTTAAATTTAAGAAAATGGTCGACACAAAGCGAAATAAAGATGGTCAGCACAATCAGGATGGTCAACACAATTTGGGATGGTCAACACAGAACGAGATAAAAGATGGTCTGCACAGTTCTTCTGGAATTGGACTAACGAGACGGTCAACACAAAAACGGGACACAAGATGGCCAACTCAGTCCCTTCCGGAGTTGAAAAATGACCGACGCGATGGTGGGCGTCTCGTGTGATGGTGGCGGACTAAACAATGCTCCTGAATGGTGAGCGCCACACGATGGGGCAAGGTAACAGTTGCCAAGCTAAGCCGCGATGAGAAGCCAGCCCTCCTTAGGCCAGGGTCGACGAGGAGCGCGGGACAACGACGAACGCCGGTCCCCGGGGTCGAGAGCCAACGCCGGGGAAGCCAAACAGGGGGCCAACCGAGCGGCAGGGCGGGCCGAGCGGCAGGGGCTAGCACGATGGAAAGCTAGCCTTCCTTGCGTCGGGAGGCTCTGAGGGATCACAGGGGCGCTGGAACACCGGAATAGCAGGCTGTCAGCTGGAAACAGCGGGGCGTCAGCTGGGATCGGGCCGAGGAGCAGGCTCACGTCGGCAACAATGGCGGCCCTGTGAGGCCTTCTCTCCGCGCCCTTTCTGCGCGGCCCTGTGAGGTTTCTCTCCTGGTCCTTGGCGGTTCTCTCCCCCACGACCGCTGTGGAGGCCACGGCGGCCTTGGAAGCTTCGGCTGCAGCACAGGTTGCGCAAGCACTGCAGGCCCTACAGGCACCCACAGGGACTAGCAGCGGCGGCGCAGCAGTCAGGCAAGGCCGCAAAGCAAGGCCACAAAGCAAGGCCGTGAAGCAACTCACTGGATAGTCAATCAAGCCGTAGCTCAGCGGTATGGCGGTGGACCGGCGCGTCCTCGATTCCGGGCCCGGAATGGCCGGCCGGCACTCCCAACCCAAGCCAAGCAGGAATGGAGACAGAAGGACGGCACCGGTCTTCCTCCCAAGCGGCCACAATCCCGTCGGTAGCGTCGGAGCTGGTAAGCAGAGGCCGTGGATGCAGCTCAGGGGAATGAGGAGGGAGCATGCTTGTAAACCCGCAATGGCAGTGAGCCAGCCGCTCTACCTCCTTCTTCTCAGAACCTTTTCTGGCTCTTCCTTGCCAACGCTCCTCCAATTCGACTCACCAAGGCCACCTTCGTGACCCTGGTTTGACAACTGGTAAGGAGCGGGTTTCACGGCTTTGGATGGCAAGGTTTAGGTCGATTAAATCGGGTTTTTCAATGCTTCCCTACCGGAGCTGAGGTTCGCTGCTGCTACCACGCCGCCATCATACCGGAAGAGTATGGGAAGAGAAAGGGATGCAATTTTGAAAATACTGTCATGATAAGTTTGCAGGGAGTCAGTTTCTGATCCTTGGCATTTTGGCATTGTAGAAGTTTTAGTCCATTGGCAGCTTTCAAAGAAGCAGGCTGGCCTAAGAGATGTTCTTCTCCAGGAGACAGCGGGAGAAATGGTGATGTAAGCCTAAGGATTGATTAAGGTGTATGTAAATGTGAATGCTGAGTAAAAATGTAAACCCCTGGCCTTTGTTTGTTTGTCAGCCAATGTAACTGTAGGTTTGTGAATTCAATGTAGCTACATAAAATCTGTATGTCTAATGTCATTCTTTGTATAAGTGTAAAAGTTCTGATAGACCCTCCCACATTGAGATTGCAATAAAAAGAACCTTTATTTAGAAAGTATTCATGGCACAGAGTCTGAGATATTGTTACTCCCAAAAAAATATTTTAGAGCTATTGGGATGAAATGTGCTACAATTGTAGAACATATTTACCACTGCCCCCCTCTATTTCACAACTTTTCACTTATCAACTGATTTTTTGGAACGTTTTTTAGTTTTTTTACAAACAACTTTTGTAAAACAACAAGAGCTCTCTCTACATGACACAACACAACCAGGGTATCATTCACCCCACATTTCTGAAAGATTCATACATCTACTGATTTTTAGGGATTTTTTTTTTAAAAAATCAAAACAAATTTTTGAAAGCCACAACAGCTATACCCTTGAATTTGTCTATAATGTATCTTAGCTGCTATGGATAGCTGGAGTGGGGTGGGGTAGTTGGCTGGTGGCCACACCATCCTCCAAAAGAGATCGTCAATAGGGGTGTGCAATTCAGGTAAACCCCATGCCTGTACTAGGTTTCCCAAACACATAATGATTTTGGAAAACTAAAGCTTTGGGGGGCTGTTGTCCCAGTCACTCCAGCACAGATAGTATCAGATGCAATAACTGAGAAGAAATTCCCGCTGGATGGATTTGGAAAAATAAAAAATAAAAACTTCTGTGCCAGCTGTCACTCTTGAGCAGAATCAATAATAAATTAAAATAATACTCCCAGCAGTCTAGATTCCTCCTAATGACAGTTGGTCACTCAGTCCTCCTAGCCTCATGTAATATAGCCTAGCCTACTGTGTGCCTGCTTAGGCAACTTAGACAAAAGTACTGGATGAGTTTTGTGGATTCTGTGCAATTCTGAATCCAGATGTCATGTACAGATCACATAATGAACATTATGTTGTTTTGATTCTTGTTTTAATATTTTTATTCATTTATACTTGGAAATAAGTCATTGATTATGCATATAAGAAGTTCAGTTATGCAGAAAACAACAAAATAAGACATTAAATAAGTTAAGTGTGTACAAGTCTATTATCCAGGACATCAACAGTCTAGAGAACACACACACACACACACAACACCAATTTCCTGCTTATTATCTTTCTAACTCTGTGGAACAAAATTACATTTTCAGTAATTAAACCTTGCAATCAAATAATGAAATTAGTACTGTTGGGTTCAAACTAAGCTCCATCAACTGAAGGCTATAAAGAGTGAGAACAACATCAATTCTAACAAACAATAGGAAGGCTTTAATTTCAAATGTTGGAAGCCATGCCAGTGAATGTGTAATGTGTCGTAAGAAGGATACTAAGATATGTTGTGTTTCATTTTCCCTTTCTCCCCACTGCCCCATTTTGGGGAACTACTTGAGCCCATTTTCACAAGTAGCACTCTTTTAATGTTTGACTTCTACTTTCACGGGGAGTTATCAAACACCTCTAAGATGACACAATGAAATCAACAAAATTTACTCAGTAAAATTTTATAGAGTCCTTTCCAGTCACAAAGCATTTGTATCATTGTTAATGAGAGGCAAGCATGAACAGTTAGGAGTATGAAAGGAACAGTTACAGCAGGAATCACAAGTTATTAATAATGAAATGTATCTTAAGGAAATTACACAGTTATTTCAGCTCTAGACTCAAGATTAATTTTAGCATTCTATATGTCACCTTTTCCAGCAATGAACTTTAATGATCACATAATTATTTCTCAGAATATTTATTAATTAATGGCTCTAGTTTATGGTTGTCTTAAAATAAATAGTCATTCAAGACTGAAGCATGAGAACTAAATGAAAATGAACCACATAAACTCAGGAATAACATTACCTTTGAGATGTGCTTTAACAGCAGTATTTAAAAGCTCATGCTTCTCATCATTTTATAATGAGCATTGCCATAAAAAGCATTTGGGCAAAAAATGCTACTATTCAACATAAATGAAACTGTTCACTTAACTTTTAAAATAAATTGATTTGGCGATAGATAAAAGTTCAATGCAAACACAACCTTTTTGAATTATGAAACATTTCAGTGGAGAAATATACATGAAAGAGCTATAAGAGAATGAAAACTCTCAAGTAAAGAAACCACATCTCTCAAACAAGTTTTAGTGGAGTCTAGTTTGTTTCATGTGAGAAATCTAAATTGGTTTTCCATTCTTCAGGAAAGTTGTCATTATTTCCTTTAATCACAAATATATACAAGGAAAGTCTTCTTTGTCCAAGTCTTTCATGGCTGGAATCACTGGGTTGTTGTAGGTTTTTCGAGCTATATGGCCATGTTCTAGAAGCATTCTCCCCTGACATTTCATCTGCATCTATGGCAGGCAGTTTCAGAGGTTGTGAGGATACAGCCTGAAAAACCTACAACAACCCAAAGTCTTCTCCAATAAAAGAATAGCAGAGAGAAGGGAAATCATACCTCTGATGCTGCACAGGCAAAACTATGGATATGAACGCATACATAAAACCTAAACCCACAGTAATCCTGTGTTTACTATCCCTTTTCTTGCATTTCATACTATTAAGTATTTTGCTATTATACCTAACATACCTAAAATATACAAAGATTGTACTTTAAATATCACTATGGTGAAATGCCCTATTCTGCTGTCAGTCTGACTCTAGAGGGCTTTTCAGTTCTTCAGAGGTAGCTCTGGGGGCACAAAATCCCTCCCTCTCTCTCTCTCTCTCTCTCTCTCTCTCTCTCTCTCTCTATATATATATATATATATATATATATATATATATATATATATATAAAATTTTGCCATTGTACCAGAAGATATCCACTGTTTGATCCTTCCCACGGTTAACATGTTTGAAAAAACTTACCTTTTTGTTTTCCCTTGCTTTATTTGGCTAATTTGATCTAGTTTCTCAGGTTCAGTGATGCAACTTGTTGATTCAACTAAAATGACCCTAAAAATATTGCAAACTTGGTAAAATTTCATGCAATAAAACACAATATTAAAAAACCGAACATAACAATACCTATATAGATTATAGAGTGGTATCCAAAAATGTGTTTGGGGAAAGGAATCTGTGGAAACTAATCTCCCCACCGTTTCTTCTCCAGCACATCTCAGGGCCTTCCAAAATGCTATAATAGGGGATTGGGATAAATTCCTGCTTTTTAGACATGATGGGCATTGACATTGATCTATAGTGGAAAAGGAGGAATTCTCCAAAATCTGGTTGAGGTACGTTCCATGAATGGCATCTCTATCCATTTCTGAGAGATTCTCCTCTCTGTACCCAACCCCATTTAGCTGGGACACCCAATACCAAGGAAAGGCTTTATGGATTGCCACCTTGAGAGAAAGAAAAGCTATTTTCTACTAGTAAACTGTATTTCATCGCATAATTGTCACCAGTGCATAATTGGTAATCAAAATTGGTATTTTTTATTTCCTCGCATAACAGTCACATCATTGATTCAGCGTCCCAAGTCACCAGCACAGAGTGTAACCAACAGAAGAGGATGGCCTCCCTGCTGTAAATAGTCCAGCTAAGCTTCCCTCTCCACATGTCTTGCCACACTATATAAACAACAGCTTCAGTCACCCAGCAACCCTTTTTCAGCAAGGCCCCTTCACTCACTTGCCCACCCGCCTGCCCTCCTCCTTTCAGGCATGGCTCTTCACTCACTGGCTTGCTCACTTGTAAAGTGCCATACCTGAAAAGTGACCAAACAAGTGAGTGAATGAATGAAGTGCCATGCGAGAAAGGCATGTGGGCAGGCAAGAGAATGAATGAAGCACCATACATAAAAGGGGAAAGCAGATGGGCAAGCAAGTGAGAGAGTGAGTGAAGCACCCTTGCTGAAAGGGGGCACATAGGGGGCACATAGGTGAAGCTGTTGTTCATGTAGTGCAGCAAAGCATGTGAAAGGAAGCCTAGCTAGACAGTTTACAGCAGATTTTTTTTCACTACATAATCTTTGTACCCTCCTTTTTTTAGTAAAAAAAAGAGGATTAAAATGTGATGATTGTTTGATGAAATATAATAGCATTGACTGCCACCGTTAGAACCTAGCTTCAGGCTGGATTATAGTTTCAAAACAAAATGTTTTGTTTCTATTAAATTTCTATTTATTGTTCAAGTGAGAACCCAATTTATGGTTCAAGTGAACTGAGAACCCACAAATTATGATCTATGCCTGAGTAAATAGGAGCATATTATTATTGCTATACTTGAGGTAGGTCTGAAATATAAAATCTAAATTCCTTTTTCCAACACTAGTATAACAAATGAGAGTATAGACATCTGTACCCACAAGCATGTAATGCCCAGGAAAAATGTAGTTGTGAAATGGAGAAAAGACAAATAGCTCTTTATTACATTATCTTCCACCTTTCTGAGAAAATAGCAGTAAATTAAAATAGAATTAAAACTATATTAAAATTCTTAGATTGAATTATTACCTATCTGGAGCACAAACAATTTTAAGACAATTGAGATCTTTAATGCATATAGAAAAACAACACATTTCTAGAAAAATTGTGGAATTTTCTTACATCAGTAAATCCTGACATGTACTGGTTTTTAATGCTTAAAACAAGATTATAGACATTAATACTGACTACATTTTTATTTAATTGCATACCTGAATGGCCCATCCATTTTGAAAGGGCTAGTAACTTGAAGACTAAGTTTTTTCAATTCATAACAGGGAGATTTGCATTTTAATGAACCCTAAAAGCAGACAGGAAAAGGTAATGGTCAGCAAATCCACCATTTGTAGTTCATTATTTTAAAAGCAGACGAGCTCCTTTTTTGGTCCCAAGTTCAAAGAATAAATAGCATACACCCATTATTAATGGTTACTTTGAAAATGTCATGATGGAATGGAACTGGGTTCTTTTTCCCAGGTCCAATTTTCTGAAATTCTCCCCAGTGTACATATGTGTAAAGAGGGGGAACAATTTCTTCTCCTTTTGCAATTCTCTTAGAAATGGGAGTTTGCTTATCTCACAACTTTCAAGATGTCTGCAAGTTTGTTTCCTCCTCAATCATGCTTCTTACTATCTGGGTTTACTGGTAGAATTTTATGAGCTAGAAGAATTTTATGAGAAAGTATGCTTTGCATGAAACATTTGCTCTCCTTAAACTAATGGATACACAATGTATACACAACAATCTTGTAGTTAAAATCCAAGATAACTACAAATATAGACAGTCCTCGAGTTATGAACAAGAAATTGTTTCTAAGTTAGAACAGGTAGCCTATTAGGAATTGTGGAAGCCTGAAACACAGGGAGGCCCCACGTTTGCCCACACCTTCTTTACACCATATGAGATATAGTACTTACAGCAGGTTTAATATTTGTAATCTTAGTCTTCAGGGAAAACGTCATTGTAACCCCACCCACTCCCGTTAAAGGCTTTGAAACAAGCAGCAATACAGCTTCAGCAGGATACAGGAAGCGGCTAGTGAATTCCACCTTCACACGTATTTGGCTCCTAAATTGGGAAACAGAACAACATATTCTATAATGAAATTCTGACAAAGGTAAAGTACCATAGCTTGACACATATGATGAGTTCAATATATGGGAAATCATGGATATTTTAAGCACAGAAAATTAATTGCTTTTTTCATCCCAGCTACATAAATGAAGATCGTAAAGTGTTGGAAACCAGAAGAACCTAAACTGAAAAACTGGTGGAAAAGAAACTGGAACACCTGGCTAATGGGGAAAAAAATATTCCAGCACAACTTAACCGCTTTGAGTCGCCTAAGGGCTGAGAAAAGCGGTATATAAATGAAGTAAATAAATAAATAACTGGTTTGTCTATCTTGAATAAGTAAATGAACATCTGCAGCAGAATCAACCTCCAGCTGGCCAGAAAGCATTCTGGAAAGCCACTCTATACCAGTGGTTCCCAACTTGTGGGTCCCCAGATATTTTGGCTTACAACTCCCAGAAATCCCAGCCAGTTTAATAGTTGTTAGAATTTCTGAAAGTTGAAGACCAAAACATCTGGGAACCGACAGGTTGAAAACCACTGCTGTACACTATGGCTCTTCTAGCTTAACTGACCACTAAAAGTCTTCTATCAGAGAACACAGGCATTTTCAAAATAAGAGGCAGGAGGTAACCATGGAGCATTCCATCTTCCAAGCCCAATGTTTACTCTTAATCTTTTCTTTTCCTTTGTGTGTTGATGTTTATTCCACTTCCTTGTTATTTGCTGATGTTAAGTACATAAATGCTGTAAACATCCAATGTACTATTACCACCAGTACATGGACAAAATATTCAATAAAAAAAATTCAAAGGCAGACTAAACAAAAACAACGGAATGAAACATTTACGAAGCTGTTCCTTTTGAAAATGGCTGGCACTACTCCAATATTGAAAATAATGCTCATTTTTTCTGCATAAAAGGGTTAAGTTTAAATGTTAACATTATAGATTGATCTCTTCTCTATGTCACTCTGTCCATCTATAAATATGTTGATAAAAAAGCATCTGCAACAAACAGCTGCCACAAAAAAATGATCATGAAACATAACCTAAACTCTAAATGAAATAGGGTCTATTTTGACTATAAACATCCAATAATTATTTTCCATGATCTAAAAAAAAAAACCATACAGAGACAACAATAATTTGCAGTCAAGCCAGGTAAGCATGACACCACAAAATATTCAGTATCCAAAAGATACTATGGAAGACAATATTTAGGTATTGACTGACCCTAATATATCTGATCCATCAATCCATCAATCGGTTTTGACTAGTTCTCCCTAAGAATTTTGAGCATGTGATATATCCATAATCCATGATTGTGGGTTTAAAGCAGAAATGGGGAATCTTCAGCCCTCCAATGATGATGCTTAGCCATAGACATTAGACCAGTGGTTCTTAACCTGTGCGTCCCCAGATGTTATGGCCTTCAACTCCCAGAAATCCCAACAGCTAGTAAGCTGGCAGGGATTTCTGGCTGTTGCAGACCAAAGCACCTGGGGACACACAGGTTGAGAACCACTACATTAGACAATTCGGCTAGAGCTAATGAGAAGTGGCTCAACAACATTGTGAGGGCTACAGGTTTTCCAAGTTTGCTCTAGGAAATTCTAGATAAAAACACCATGTCCAATGCTTGGGTTAAAGAGGGCCCACACAAGCTTACAGTGGATACTAGGTTCTCCTCACTTTTTAAAACCTTTCTCTTCCTGGATCTGAGAAGATCAGACAAGGGATTATAACACAGTAGGCTCTTGGTTGATTTCAGCTGTAGCTACCAAAATTCATGGATGTTCAAGTCTCATACAATGGCACAGTAAAATATAAAACAGCAGAATCAAAGTTTGCTTTTGGATTTTTTTAAAAAAAATCCAATTATGGATGATTGAATCTGTGGATAGAGAGGGCCAACTGTAATATCCGAGTATTGTTAACCAGCTGATTTGCATGCCCAAGTTCTTCTGAAAACAACATCACCTCTTCTTTCCCTATTAATTTCCAATTATTTTTAATACATGAGATAAATCCTAGCCCATGTCTTAGTAAAAAACCAGTGTTGTCACATAATTGTGTTTGTTGGAATATTTCACTGTTTGTCAATCATCTGTTTCGAAACCAACTGAGTGACTATGTCACATTCTCTCTGCCTCAGAGAAAGGCAAAGGCAAACTGCCTTTGAACAAATCTTGGCAAGTAAACCCTGTGATAGGTTTGCCTTATCATGAGTCTGAAATCACTTGAAGGCACAACAATGACAAAAAGTTTTCTTTACATGAATAAATAATGATATTCTAATTAATAAAATATACTGAAAGTTAAAGCACTTTCTGTTCATCTCAACCAGTTATCCTACGTATAGGTTACCATTTTAGCTTTTGTGGTAGAATCCCCTGCTTGTGATGAAACACCTCTATAACAGGATAAAAATCAAAATACCATAAAAGTTCTGGCATCATCATTATTACCCTTTTTAAAGTTCATTTTTTAAACATTCTACATGGGTTATCTGGATGTTGAATGATAACTGAAGCACCTGTTTTTCACATAACAAATATATTATGAGATGTACTATTGTTCCAGCTTTATGGTGTATTAGCACTGCCAAAAGTAGCTAACAATATTGCTGAATCCCTGTTTCAGCAATCCTTGACATTACCTCCTGAACTGACAATTTGGCTAACAAGTCTTTTTTTTTTAATGAAATGAAAGGAAGAAAAATGTTGTAGCTTATTTGAAATGGTTTTTATTGACCCAAAGAGACCTACTATCTCAAATGTCAAGAAACAAAATTCACTTTGTATGGAATTCTGCTGATTGTAGCTGGAAGAGAAAAGCTTTCCAAGACAGCTGATTCTGTGTCAGAGAAAACAAATCAGCACGAACAAGAAGAACAAGAAGCAAAACATCAATTTCTTGTTGTGATTCACCCTATGTTCCCTCTTTGAATTTATTGGACTTCTTTCTTTAGGGAGTTTGTTGCTGGAGATAATATCAGTTTAAGAGGATGACAAAACATTTTCATCTAGAAATAACACAATGTACATAGTACACAGAAAAATCCAAGAATTAACAGCTGTGTGGAAGTACAAACATTCAAGTCATACAATGAGTATACAATTGTGCATATGCAATAGCTATCAGAGCATCCTATATGAGGCAAGAGTAAATAATTGATCATTTGACCTCATTCAGTGATCACACACATTGGGAAACCTCTTACATAATACTGGACACTATCCCCAAGGTTGGGCAATGAGAACCTTCTAGTATAGATTAAATAAAGGTTTTAGCCTGACATTAAGCCCAGTTGCGTCTGACTCTGGGGGTTGGTGCTCATCTCCATTTCTATGCCAAAGAGCCTGCGTTGTCGATAGACACCTCCAAGGTCTGCATGGAGCACTGTTACTTTCCCACCGGAGTGGTACCTAGTGTTCTACTCACATTTGCATGTTTACAAACTGCTAGGTTGGCATAAATTTCCCAAATTCGAGCCTGTGATCTTTTGGTCAGCAAGTTCAGTAGATCTGTGGTTTAACCCACTGCAGCACTGGGGGCTCCCTAGTATAGATTAATTTCATTCAAATATATTGTGCCATGAGCTCTCACCTCTTCCTTCTCATACTCTCTCTCTCTCACCCACATACACATGGGAGAGACAAGGCAAATAGGACATTATTAGAACATAATACTTATGAACTTCTTAAACTGTGAGTCCCAACTCAGGTCCCCTTAGCTCAGTATTGGAGTCATGAAAAATTTGGTAACAGCAAAAGGTTTCAGAGCACCACACAGTGGCCATTTTAAATATTATACAAATCTGTTAGTAACAACAATGTGTAGTGTGTACAGCGGACTCTGTGGAAAATGCTTCAGATGCACTTTATAAAAAGAAATAAATCAGTTTATTTAGCAAGATGTGCAGATGCTGATTTGTTATCAATAAATATTTTATTTTTATACACCTATATACCCAGGGTCATGTAATAATTTCTCGGGGGGAATGGAGTTGCAAATGGAAAAAAGTCTTGTTCAGGAATACCCCTGCTCTCCCAAATTTCCTGTAATACAGGAAGCAAGACTGGAAGCACTGTCATTTAGTAAAGACAGAACTAAAGGCTACTCACTTTGGGGGAATCGTGACAGTGTTTCCTTTAGGCAATGTAAAATCTGCAGATTCTCTTCCTAAAACTGAAGCATTGTATATCAATGGATTGATACTTGGGTTTTTTATTTGTATCTGTTGAAAAAAAAACAATATTTCTTTATCATTACGCTACCTTTTAAGCATTATGTTAAGAAAAATAGAGTGTTGGATATATGTTGATAGTCACTTATTCAAGTTAGCAATAAAATTAAGTAATAACTTGATCTTTTTAAAGGATCAGCTTAATTACTATCTCAGGTGCATCCAGACAGCCTTTTTAAAGTGGGCATCCAGATGACATCCCATAGAAAAATGAATAAATTTGTTTGTCACAAATTAATTTGTTAGTGGGTTTATTCTGCACCTTCTTGGAAGGTGTGCGGCAAGCCCACAATTTCCTGGACTGCTGTCTGGACTGCTCCCTCAAAAGTTCTGGACTTTTGAAGGAGCAGTCCAAATAGTAGTCCCCAATTTTTCTGTGCTAAATTAGCCTGTAAAACTGTGAAGACACCAACTGCCTCCCAAACTCCCCTTTTACAAATAAAAGAACTTATCCATCATCCATTAGCATGGTGCTGGAGCTCTCCTGGTACGTAGGAATAACGCACCAGGAGAAGTGGGGAAGGACAATTGCTCCTGCCCCCCCTTTGCTTGGCATGTCACTCCTGTGCGCCAGGAGAACTTCTCTCGGAAGGACACCCAGCTGCAAAAGCATGGGCTTTTGCAGCTGGTGTACAGACTAAAGTCTGCCCTGAATTGGGTTTTTAAATCCTGGGTCGAAACGGACTTTACTGCTGTATAGAACTGCCCTCAGGCCCCATCTACACTGCCATATAAAATCCAGATTATCTGCTTTGGACTGGAGTACATGGCAGTGTAGACGAATATAATCCAGTTTAAAGCAGATAATTTAGATGGAGCCTTAGAAATAAGGCAGTCAGAGGTCTCTCCAGAATAAACACTTAACTTCACTGCAAGAGCATTATTAGAACCCAGACTAAAGTGTGTGCAAATTCATTTGCAACACATGCAAAATAATCCTATAATGGGGAAATCTCTTTTGTGCCATATGAATGCAGTTGTAAATACATTTATTTGCTTTGTTCAGTATTCTGTTGTCATCTGAACATAGCACAAGCACTATGCTCAGTGCTCAATGTATAAGCACTGATAGATTAATTGTATTGGGTGTTTGTGATTCTTGATCAGCCCTGCTCCAGAAAGTATTCCAATTAGCCCTTGATCTCCTGTGAAAATAACTGAGAGGATTTCCATGCCTGACATCAAAATATTGTAGCAATAAATGCAACACATAGGAAATATTCAACTAAATATTAAGTATTGCTAGAATATTTCTATTATCAGTGTAAGGAAAATCAACATTTGTATATCCATACTACAAAGAAGCTGGGGCTAAAAGATAGTAAGTTGCCCTGAGTCGACAATTTATATTGTGTGTGTGTGTATGTGTGTGTGTGTGTGTGTGTGTACACACACTCAAAGTCAGTCTGTCTGCACCACAAAGGCTGTTGCTAGGTAAAGCCACTGGATTGGCTTTTGCTAGGTGAAGTGGCCCCTGTGATGTATCTGAGAAAGAAAGGTCACGTGTGCATGTAAGAGAAGGGAGGAAGGAAAGAAGGAAGGAAGGGGTCATGAAAAGAGCCATGTTGCATAGAGAAATTGTGTGGTAGGCTCTATCAGAGCTGGAGAAAAGGGGAAGGGGGCAGGGGAGGAAAGGAAGGAAGGAAGAGAAAAAGAAAGAAAAGAGCAGAGGAGGAAGGGGGGAGAGGAGAAAGAAAGAAAAAGGAGGGAGATAAAGGAAAGGGGGAAAGTATGAAGGGGGAGGAGAAAAGAAAGAGAAAGAAGGAATAAAAGCCGGGGGCAGAGGTCCCTCCAACATCTTGACAACACCAAGTGTGTGTGTGCACGCGTGTGTGTGTGAATAAAGTTTCCAGAGACTTTCAGGTTCATAGCCCATGTTCTTAAGCATTATATCTTAACAAACTAAGCTAAATAAACAGCATGAGTAACCAACTCAACAATTACAAAAACTATAAATTAAAAAAATATATTGATTGTGTCCAAAAATATCCTGGAAGATAAATTCTACATTGCTACACATCACACTGATAAGAGAAGACTAGAGCAAGATGATGCTCCCCACCGACAGCTTTTTTTTTTTTTTTTTGGCAGATGTACTGAGGAGAATGGGACTGCCAGAGGGTTGGGATAGAAGTGCTGAAGATTACTGTGAAAGCTCTATAAACTTTCTGTGTGCTGTCCTTTGTGTTTCCATTTGAAAACATTGGAAAACACGGCTGCCATAAAAGATAAAATCAGAAATGGGGGATGGGAGTGACTGAACAGGGATGTTATGCAAGTATAGAGTCCTTAGATAAACTGACATGTCATAGAGTTTACTCAAGGTATGAATGAGAAGGTGAAAGCAGGACATTTTCATATGGATGGAAGCAAATTCCAGATTGGGAAACTCAAGCAATAGGGAAAACCCAATTTTTTACTGCCTGTGCAAATGCAGAACACAATCTTTGACAAGTCATGATTTCATATAAAAAGTTCAAAATCCAACTTCTTTTAGCTCCTTTTTAGTTTTCTTTTAAAATTGCTCTTCCAATTTCATTTTAATTTTGGAATAAAAAATACCTATTATGCACTGATTTCATTTGGAATTGTCATTGAATTAGTTTATCTGTAACCTCTATTGCAGATTCTTGTCAAAAGATGGTAATTAAGTAAAAGTTCTTGCCAGAAACATATAACAATCTATTATTGCCAACAACTATTCAAAACATAAAGTAGAAATATCTGTACCTTTCTAAGTACAGTGGCATGCAGTGGACCAGGAAACTCAATAGATTTCTTGGGTGCATATTGAGGAAGCCGCTCATATAAATGGACACAAAGCATAAGCATCATGACAGGGTTTGGATCGCAGATGTCAGTAGCCTAATGCAAGAGCAAAAATAAAAGAATACATATGCATGTAAACCATATTATTATTATTATTATTATTATTATTATTATTATTATTATTACATTTATTTATACCCCACTTTTTCTCTCCACAAGGAGGCTCAAATGAAATGCTTTTAATGTAAGCCGCTTTGAGCCTCTGTGTGGGGTATGAATATACACACACACACACACACACACACACGGGAGGAAACAATACCCTTACCCTGGAAGGGGGTTGGACTACATGGTCCATATTGTCTCTTCCAACTCTATTATTCTATGATTCTAGTCAAGTATCATCAGATCTATTTGTTTCCATACCAAAAAACCCTTGAAATAATTTATGAACTAAAGCTTTCAAAGGTAAGATACTAGTAGCACATTGCAGTCTTTTGTTGTTGTTTTTTTTCTTACTTTCAGATCGTTGTACTGAACTGCTTGACATGTGGAAATGAAATCAATATTTAGGATTATGTAAAATACCAGTTCAATTATTGATGAATTCTAACATACAAATACTTAATAGAGCTTTTTACACAAAAAGTTGTCATAATGTAAGATATTAACACTGTAAAACATACTTCAAACTAACATGCTAAAATATGGTAAAGATCTCAAGAGATATGACTATATGACTTCATATACCCATTCCTTTCTTACTGTACCCCACATCATTTGGGTTTGCTTGGTACTGAACTAAGATTAGAAATATTTGAAATAAGGTTCCATTAGTAATTTCATAAAAACAACAAAATGTAATGCATCTTTTCACAATGCATCTTTTCACAATGGGAGGGGGGGCTTTCATTTTATACATCTAATTGATATTATCCTATAAAATTTCCTCTCCCATTTCTAATCTCATAATCTCACTGGCTAATCCTCTCTGACGTCACAGTAGGCCTGCAAAAACAGAGATATCATGGTCACTCTAGCAAAAGAAGCTTATTTTCACTTTGTTGCTACAGTGCCACAAAAATCCAAACAAAACAGCCTTTGCTAAGAAGATAAGATTTTCTCAGAAGATATGTTGGAACTGACATTCAACAATTAATGTGCAACTAAACCAAAAAAGCAATAACTATAAGACAAATGGTATTATAGGGAGCCCTGCTGGTACAACCTGTCTGAGCTAAACAACACTTGGTCATATAAAATTAAGCTGAAGTGCATTGACCACATGGAAACTACACAATTCCTTGTTTATTTTTTAAATATCTAGTCTATAACTTACTACCATCATTCATTTTTTTAGGAAAAAAATGGAGAGGTAACTAAACTTCAAAACTGTGAACAGAATCTAAATGAAAACCAATGTAAAATGCCACATTATAGTGCCACTTTAATGGAATCCTGGAGATTCTAGTTTGGGGAGGCACAAGACCTCTCTGGCTGATAGGCTGATAGGCTGATAACTGTAAATATCCCTTAAACTGTCAATCCCATAATTTCACAGGATAAAAACCTTGTGGTGTCCCAAAAGAATAAGCCACTCTCTAGCGAGGGAGGGAGACTATTTCTTTATTTAAGAAAAACCTCTTTACTCTTATAAGGATTCCGTTTCTTCTTTTATATTTGCTGGGACTTTCTGTGTGCTGTTTAACATTTGTACAGGCACTGAGACACACTTCTGTATAATGAAGTAACACAGTTTATTTATAACTTCAGACTCCAAACGCTTGTGGTTACATTTGTGTTTTGTTGCAATCTTGAGACTTACAGTCAGTATAATATACTTTGTTTACTTTTCTGAAATAGACTTTCAATGTTTCTCATTCACAAACATGTTACTTGCTTTACACACTCTTGAGTGAAATTATGTTCTGACTAAAGCACCACTGGCTTTCTTTATGTTCCTAAAACGTGAGCTCTATTTGACTAACTGCTTATTTCTAATAGGAGTTCCTAACCCTTTTCTCTCACAGAAGTTCCTAACTGTCTCTCACAAACAGGATTCCCTAACTCTCTAACTGTACCTCACAAACAGCAAATCCTAACTAACTCTTTTGACTCTCTAACTGCCTATTTTTAAACCTTGGCTCCGCCCCTTTGGAATGTTTAGCTCGGCTCTCCCCAACTGTCATTTTGGTCTAGCAACCTGTTCAAATCCTGGGCCTACGCTAATCTGCATATGACCAATCGGCTTCCATATGCAAATGAATCCTATCTCTGCTGTTGCTACCCTGTCTGTGCCTATTCTTCCCTATTTGCCATATGTAAACATAGAGCTATACACCAAAAATTTAACATAGAGTAGCAATTTCACTACACTCTCCTTTAAGAAACACATAATTAAATCCAATTACTCCAATAGACTACTAAATCAGTGGGAAACTGAGTCAATATCTATGTAAGTTCGATTGAAATTTGCAATTATATTTAAACCACAGACTATTTCATGAACTGAAGATGAAGGATTCATATAAAAATCTTAATACATTAACAAGATGATATGGGAGTTGGCACCATGCTTTTCCTCATAGTTATTCAATTCATTTTTCTAGATGTAATGTTATATAACAGGAAAACAAAAAGAGCTCATACAACATTAGAAATAAAACACCACTTACCAATACATCTATGTCAAGGGTGATTGCATGAAAGGCATTTACAATGATCAAGCAATTGTGAAAATATTGTTCAGAAGTTTGGGGATTCGTGTACATATTCACAAAGTGAGTTGAAATCTGAAAACAAGACAAAAATTAAGCTCTTCCTGAATATCAAAATAAGCATATTTTTGTCCAAATGTTTTGAACAAGAGCCAAGCAACTGTTTAGCAACTTTCTGACAAATTTGCTTATAGAAGTGGTTGTCTGCTATTCATTTCTTAGCATTCATATTAAGTTATCAAAAAATACCAAATGTAAAAACTACTTTACACTCAGTCAAGCTCTCTCAAAATCTCAGATAAGGGGTGTCGCCTTCATAAGATCTTTCAAATGCAGATAGCAAAAACAATACACAAAACACATGATCTGGCCCTCAGCCAAGATCCACCTCCATTTTATTTTTCTGCCCCATCCAGAACAACATGATTCAATACTTTTAAATACTTTCTTCTTTGCCCTGTTACTTCATTCCTGGCCCTAATTTATTCTAATTATCTCCATGCTTCTAATTTTTCTCAAGGGTTTCACTATCTCTCTTCCTAAATTGAGATGGGCATGGTGGAAACAACTCATGGTGCAATGTATTGAGGCAGTTCTACACTGACGAGTAAAGTAGGCCAGTACTGGCATCTGAAATACTGATTGTAGCCCGCTTTACAGTCCAATAGTGATGCCCTGAGTCACCTCAATGCCAGATGGGTGTCTCTATATATCAAATCCAGTTTGGCATCACTGGGAAGATGACCAACTGTCACCCCTCTCCCCCCATATAGCTGATAGCTACAGCAGCAATAGGGTGGCCTACCTTACTGTGGTGGGTTCGTCTTCTTCCTTCTATGTCTTGTGAGTTGCAAAGGAGGAAGGAGGGGGAAGATGCCCTTTCTCTCCTCCCATCCTCTTTTATGAGTCACAAGACATGGTAGGAGGTCAAAGCAGCCCCCAGCCAAAGGTAGGTTGCCCTGTCACTGAGGTAACCAAAAGCCACATTGGAGGAGGGAGCAGGAGAGGACACACATCCTGTGTCCTTGGGCCACCTGAGCTCTGGAAGCATAGGATGGCTCTTGGGATTGCAATAACTGAGGGAAAACCCTGAATCCTACACCCAAGAACAGCCCTTAATGGCCACTCATTGGATACTCCCTCATCACACTGACCTAAATGGTGAGTAAAGATAGGGGCTTGGTTTCACTGAGAAATTATTCTATTGTGGTCATGGCACACCTAAATAAATTAAGCAAACAGCAGCCAAGACAAGGATTATGACCTATGATACAGTAACATAATTAAGGAGTATGAATAAAAACATATGAATACAATGATTATAATGGGGAAATGGCAATGGGAGAAATAAAGTGAGTTTAGCATGAGTCAAGCTATGCTAGGCAAGTGAGTCTTCAGAAAGGGCATAAATAAAGAAGAAGGCCTTTTAACGGAGGTGAAAAAACTGGTCCAAGCACAAAAGACTGGAAGGATTAAAAAGGATACTAATAAAAGAAGAAGATGAATACAATAAAGGAATGGAAGAGTGTAAGATATAAAGTTAAGATAAAAATCAACAGCTGACATTTAAACTGAAAATGAAATCAGAGGTGTAGCTGATACAGGTACAAAATGAGAGGTTACGTTATTATTTCCCAACCATTCAAGCTGCATTAGCTCATAACTACCAGTTGTCTATTGCATTTAAAGTGGTGATGTTTACCACAGCAAAACAAATATTTCCATCAAAATGTTGGAAAACTGTCTTACCAAAAAAGGGCAATAGCTTGCAACTTGTGCTGCAAGGACAAGGCCATCAAGCAGGTCTCTATCAAAATTTACAATCCATCTTGCAGGCGGTACATCACCTGTTTGAAATAAGAATTTAATGTTTCAGGACCTGTAGTGATAAATTTCTGTATTTTTCCTTTCTGGAAAATTGTATCATCATGGATGTTAAGCATCATTTTAAGTATGCTTACAACATTACAAGTATGCTATGTGTTCTTGACTTACTGGTATAATGGACCCTCCAGATCTGTAATTTCCATTGACTGTGGATCATCATGTCCTATACATCAAATGACAGAAATGCTGAATTGCTGCAATTTAATAATATAAGGTGCAACCACTGGCTTTTTGGGCATCTATGGAGGATCCCGGAACCAAATCCCCACAGATCCAGAGAAGTCTACTGTACTTTCATTTCATTCTACATTATCCTTCACCACATTAAAATTGTGGGCTTCTGTCTTTATATTTCTCCACTGTAGTGGAGGACAAAAACTAGATGAAGTACAAGTATATCAGATTCTGCTGTTGGACATACAGATTGGCATTGTGTATAATTAAGTCCATATAGTTATTTATAGATGACAGTTTTGATATTTAAAGGTAAAGGGTATATAAATGTTATTTTCCATATGTTCCAAGTTTCTAAAAAAATTTAAATGATTCTAATGTCTGGCCATCCTCTGGATAGTGGTTAGAATGGTTGTACAAAATTTGTAAGTCAACTACATTTTACTTGTGCCTGTACACAGATTGCTCATTAGCATTTAATGGTTCCAAAAACACCTGCAGATCTGTAATAGGTTGAAATATTTGGAGCTCCTTTTACAACAAATGAAATTGTATTTTATTAGGTAAATGAAACAACAGATTCCATTTACTAACACACAGCTAGGCTGACTAGTTTTATTTCTGTTTCCATATGTGTTATCTCAAAATCCTGAACATTATTTGCATTTCTCATGCATTTGTGCAGAGCAAATCCTTTAATTAGAACTCCCCATATGTCTTAATTGACAATTATGTTACTCTGTCTTAATAATTAATACATCAGCACTTAGAATATTTACCAACCAACTTTGCATCAACAGCAGACTCATGGGTAAACAACATAATGAATTAAAATGTAACCCAATTTCAAAACATGACCTTGGAAATTTTTAATATTTAATATAATTAAAGAGCTTCAGCTGTACTAAAAGCTTGTTTCAAAGCCAAGGCAACAGTAGCAAGTAAGCTAAAGGAGTATTGTAGCACATTGAAATTAAGGGAAAGAAGTTTGTAGCAGAAACTGAGTCTACTTCAACAGATTCATGGAATATAGCTTACTGTACCTACAGAAAAACATTTATACACAGAATAGTAATGCCTGTGGGTATGACAAGAAAGTGACAAGTTCAGTTTCACTTATGGTCACTGAGGGATAAGGATAGGAGGAAAGATATTGCATTAAGTCAAGATTAATAGTGGAGGGAGTTCTTGGAATATGACACATTGCTAGCTGGGAACAAGAAAGGAAATGTGACAAAATGGACAAGACAGTCCTCACGAGACTAGAGTATTAACTAGTAGGGCTGTGCAACCACGGAAAAATTTGTTTCTAAACTCGATTCGTTTTTAGGGGGGTTTTGCGTTTCGTTATTTAAAAGAATTCCGAAATTTTTCTTTAAAAAAGTTCGATATTTACGAAATTTCGGAAATTACGAAACAATTTCGAAACAATAACGAATCGATTCGTTAATGGCGGACGCGATTGCGCAATACGCTAAAAACCCTCCAAATGGGACAGGGGGAACTTCTGAAGCTTCCCTCTCCCTCTGTTGTTGACTGTTGGTGTGATAATTTATTTTTTTATCACTGATAAAACAAACAACAACTATAAAACTTGCACCAGACATACGGAAATAATAACGAAATAATAACGAAACAATTTCGAAACAATTACGAAACAATTACGAAATAAATTTTAAAAATTCGTTTCGATTTTTAGTTGCTCCTGAATGGTTCAATATCGGATCGTAAACCACTTTAAATACGAATTATTAACGAATTACGAAATTAACGAACGAAACCGCACAGCCCTATTAACTAGTGTTCTAATATTCGTAATGTACCAAGAAACCATTGTTCCTGTTCAGCCTACTGTCAATGGACTGGTTGCGGATATAACCCAACTCTGCTGTTTCCCTCTCCAGTTTTAATTGCTTGTACATCATCCACCCTTATGTATGATGTTGCTATGCAGGCATTATAAATCAACAAAGTAAGCAAGATGATTATTCTTGGATCTTTCACATTCTCTCTGTGCCATTAATATGACAACTGGTAGTCACTGTCAACCTGAAGCTGCCCACAGATGGTAATCCAACTCTCTTATTCTTAGTCAGCTAATCCTTAATGAAAAAAAATGTATATGGCTGGCTTCCACAATTTACTAGTAACTATTACTGCAAATGCATGTCTTTGACTAAGTTTCTGTGGGATCACCACTTGTGTATGTGTGTTAAGGGAAAAACACCTGGTCAATCACAATTCATAGTCAGGTAATTAGGACAATCAAGGATAACAAGCTTGAACTACTCCCCGAATGGGGTATAACTTGGGGAATGTTTGCAATGGATTTTGGGACTTACTGAACCACTTGCTTCAGAACTTACTCGGAGTAAGTTCCTGGCTGAGAGCCTACAATGCTTGTCTCCTTGCATTATTGAAGGGAAAAGAAATCTCCAAAGAAAATGCATGAATTTAATGCAAAGAAGTTTATGTGAGTTTGTTGCTCCAGATGAACTGAGTTATTTTGAAACTGGAGGTTTTGTGTTTTTGAAGCTGCTTGTTTAATTTTCTCCTTGACTCTGCTACTTAAGAGTAAATTTTGATTTTTCCATTTTCTTGGCTTATATTTGTTTATTGTGGATGCACAAAAAGGCTGGGGAAGACTGGACAGGGCTGCACACATTTTGTGTTTTCACATAAGAGTAACCTTTTATGGTTTTGGTTGATTTCTCTTAATCTGTGTAGACTGACCTATGTTACAACTCTATAATTGTTTATATATTATACTACAATATTGTATTTGTAAAAAAAATTAAATCCAAAACCCAATAATTATACTGAATTCATTGTTCACTGAACCCATCAGTTATCAAAACCCCATACACCTGCATTGATTGATTTATTTTATTTGTTTTGAACATTTTTACCCCGCCCTTCTCAACCCTTGGGGGGACTCAAGGCGGCTTACAATTGGCAATAATTCAATGCCGCATCATAAAATACAGAATAACAAATATAACAATTATACATGAACATTAATAAATAAAGATTAAAACAGTATACTTACACTCTGATTAGCTATTGATCAACTCCTTATTTTTTCCCTTGAAGTTGGCATCAGGAAAAATTCTAAAGAGCAGTTTCTGAATTACCCCAACCCTGAAGTGAACCTATCACAGCATTTTCAGAGGGGGGGGGGGTTCCTTAGCCTTTCGCTAAGCGAGTGTGCCTTGTTCAAAGAAACAAGGAAACACACTGAGTTTCTATGGATCTTCAGAGTCATACCCCAACAGTCAAAATGCTATACTACACTGGGTCTCCTAACTGAAGCAAAAGCTTCCGCTGACTGAGAGTGAAACTATATGGGAAAAATCCATTTTGTGCATAGTCTTTTTCTTACAATTACTCAGTAAATGTATAAACATGCTTTACTGCACAATTTATTCTAAATCAAATTATTACCAACCAACACTCTCAGGTTCCTATGCCACCATCATATTTCTATTATGATCTCTGGTATTCCTCCAAAATTGCATCAAGTATAAAATAATTTAAATTTGATTTATTTTTGTTTTGGTTTTCATTTTTAGAATGTGAACCCAGAAGAGGTGGGCACTTCAACTTGCACTGAAAGCAGCAGGGATCTTGTTGTTACTGTTGTTCAGGGAATAGCAGATGCTGCTCATTTCAGCAAGTAAAAAAAAACATACAAGAAAGAGGTGTTGGAAGTAGAGGGGAGTAGTAAAAGCAATCTGCTCTAATCTGGGATAAAACTTTCTGATGTTCTGAGGTCTTAGGTTACCCAAAGATTTCAAAGCCTGCCAAGCATAGCACAGCTCTCAAGTCTGAAATTAAATTACAAGCAAGAGCTGTTTCATCTGGACAGTTGTCAACATTCATATACTGAATATACAAAAATGGCACATTACAATTTGAAAGTGTTGGGAGTCCTGGATAACTGATGCATCTTTCTAACATTTGAGATTTTTTTATATGTGTGTGAATGTGAAAATCTGTTGTAAACCTCTGAATTTTCAAACATTAACAGAAATTAACAGGAAATCAGAAGACGCTTACTTCTTGGGAGGAGAGCAATGTCCAATCTCGATAAAATAGTAAAGAGTAGAGACATCACACTGGCAACGAAAATCTGCATAGTTAAAGCAATGGTATTCCCCTTTAGTCACCTATGGATGTGAGAGCTGGACCATAGGGAAGGCTGAGCGAAGGAAGATAGATGCTTTTGAACTGTGGTGTTGGAGGAAAGCTCTGAGAGTGCCTTGGACTGCAAGAAGATCCAACCAGTCCATCCTCCAGGAAATAAAGCCTGACTGCTCACTGGAGGGAAGGATACTAGAGACAAAGTTGAAATACTTTGCCACATCATGAGGAGACAGCAAAGCCTAGAGAAGACAATTATGCTGGGGAAAGTGGAAGGTAAAAGGAAGAGGGGCCAACCACGGGCAAGATGGATGGATGGCATCCTTGAAGTCACTGGACTGACCTTGAAGGAGCTGGGGGTGGTGATGGCCGACAGGGAGCTCTGGCGTGGGCTGGTCCATGAGGTCATGAAGAGTCGGAGACGACTGAACGAATGAACAACAACAGAAATTATTTGATATAGTTTGAAAATTGAAAAGAGTTTAAAATAAGATGAATAATGCCTACATACAAACTATTTAAAATAATACCTTGGGTAGGTTTTGGCTCGGTTATAGGTTATAGAATTTTATACACTTTTACCTTTTTCTCTATTGAAATAAAAAGAACTACATCCTTTATGGCACAAATGTCACTTATCATT